CAAGTCTTGTCAGTAAGGTAGAACATAGTCTGAAACAGGAGGAATTGTCAGGTCTTGTCAGTAAGGTAGAACATAGTCTGAAACAGGAGGAATTGTCAGGTCTTGTCAGTAAGGTAGAACATAGTCTGAAACAGGAGAATTGTCTGTTTCAGACTATGTTCTACCTTACTGACAAGACCTGACAATTCTTTCAGGTCTTGTAGTTAAGTAAAACACAAACTGAAACAGTGAACTCTCAGATCTTTCCATAATGGTAGAACACAAACTGAAACTGAGGGAGTTTTCAGTTTTTATATATGTGCTCATTTTATAATAAAAACGTTTTGTGTCTCAGAAGAAAAAAAACAGAAATGTGGAACACAAATCTGGTGCTTGAATGGCTATTTTGCAGTATGAAGTGTTAGAAAAGAAATATCTTGGCTGATATGCTCTGGTTGTTTAGTTTTATACAGTTTATCTTCATAGCTCAACAATGTATTTCAATAAACATAGTATTTAACTGTAGCAAACGATTTGTAACACTAGACCAATCAGTTGTGTTATAAGTTGTTTTTTGAAAGTGATAATTATATCAACATTGTATTAAGTGTTACCCTAATAAAACATAGTTTATGTATATGTGTGTCTCAGTACTTGATAATTAATCTTAAACTATCACTTGATCTTATAGCATGATTCTACTAGTATATAACATTATGTCAATTTTATATCTGTCTAACACCAAACATTTATATATGTATAGATTAATATGTTATTGCACACTGGTCATCACAGATGTACACCATAAAACAAGTATATGACATATTAAAATATATATGTACTCTGTGTAGCGTGTATGTGACATATAACACAATATATGCACACCTTATGTCACATAAACCACCATAAATGTACACCAGGTAAAATGTATTACACAAACATCATAGGTGTACATCATGTAACATGTATATTATAACATACAAAGATTAGACATTCAATATGAATGCTATGGAGTTATAATTTTACATATATACAAGGTTTAAACATGGATTATGGAACTCATAACTTCTTATATACAAGGTTCAAACATGGATTATGGAACTCATAACTTTACTTATATACAAGGTTTAAACATGGATTATGGAACTCATAACTTTACTTACATACAAGGATTAAACATGGATTATGGAACTCATAACTTTACTTATATACAAGATTTAAACATGGATTATGGAACTCATAACTTTACTTATATACAAGGTTTAAACATGGATTATGGAACTCATAACTTTATTTATATACAAGGTTTAAACATGGGTTATGGAACTCATAACTTTATTTTTATATAAGGTTTAAACATGGATTATGGAACTCATAACTTTACATATATACAAGGTTCAAACATGGTTTATGAAACTCATAACTTTACTTATATACAAGGTTTAAACATGGATTATGGAACTCATAACTTTATTTATATACAAGGTTTAAACATGGATTATGGAACTCATAACTTTACTTATATACAAGGTTCAAACATGGATTATGGAACTCATACCTTTACTTATATACAAGGTTCAAACATGGATTATGGAACTCATAACTTTACTTATATACAAGGTTTAAACATGGATTATGGAACTCGTAACTTTACTTATATACAAGGTTCAAACATGGATTATGGAACTCGTAACTTTACTTATGTATAAGGTTTAAACATGGGTTATGGAACTCGTAACTTTATTTATATACAAGGTTTAAACATGGATTATGGAACTCATAACTTTACTTATATACAAGGTTTAAACATGGGTTATGGAACTCATAACTTTACTTATATACAAGGTTTAAACATGGATATTGGGGAAGTCGTAGGTTTATTTGTGTAGCCCACTTCAGTAGCTGGCGCTTTGATTATATTATTATCCAGATGGCGTTCTTGTTCTCCTAAAACTTTTAGTTTCATACAAAGTTCAGCAGTCTTATAAATATGGCATTTAATCCTCCTTATTTTAGATGAGTAGGATAACTCTCCTGGGATAATCCTCTGTTGCTGTACTAACCAATTGTTCTGTGTAGAATTAATTTTGACACGTTTTTGAGCAATAAATGTTCTTATTTGCCACTGATTCACTGACAGCACAGCGTAGGAAGACGGTGATCGTGGCGCCCTCTATTGACACCACAATTGTATAATAAGTAACCTAGCTTCAAACTTTATTCAGACAGTCTGTGTTACTGGATCGTCTCGCTGATTTGAGCTTTACCAAGGTAAGCAGTATTTACTAAATCATTGTCTTCTCCGTCTTGAACATGTAGTGCGGTAGGTAAAGATCTAGATAGTATTTGATATGAAATGTGCACTAAGTAAGTTCTGTGTTCTGCGAGAGTATTATTATGTTATATGAAACTAAACTGAAGAAACACAGATAATAATAAAAATGTAATTTTTTACAGTTTAAAATTGAAGAATGTATTTTTCTAATATCTTGCTTTCAGTATTTAAAATTTCTGAAAGAATGATATGAATGTTTTGAGCAGTACTTGTTATCCTGAACAACCACCAACAGTACTTGTTATCCTGAACAACCACCAGCAGTACTTGTTATCCTGAACAACCACCAGCAGTACTTGTTATCCTGAACAACCACCA